TTTTAATTTAAGGCAGATTTTCTTTCTAGCAGTTATTAATCGCGGTAGTAGTTATCTTGATTGAGTTTTTTATTTAAGGCATTTTTAATAATATGTTAGGCATGAAGTATATTATTTAGGTATTTTTTTCCTACTTAAGTACTTGATATTTTTCACCAAACAATCCTCCCCTTAACATATGCACGATTTTTAAACGAGAGAATTCCCCTAATGGGACTAAAACATCTGATAAATGCAAAAGTAGGACTCCTATGTTTAAAATGCAAAACTAGGACTACAAATTACCTAACTGGACAAAAATACCCTTGATGATTATCGATCTCAGTACATAAACGGCAGACTAGCATCAGAGGAACCTGTAATTTAAGGAGGATACATCTGGTCCATACTAGCACACCAGGTAATCTCTTCTTCCTCTTTCCCTTCTTCTTCCTTCTCCTTCTTTCTTCCTCTTTCTTCTTCGATCATCTTCCTCCTCTTCTTCTCATCTTCTTCTACCAGATCCTTGTTTCTTCATTTTTCAATTTTTGTTTATTGTTAATTCATTTACTATTTCAGATGATAAATCAAAATACTATTTTGGATATGAAAACTTGAGATTTGGATTTGGGTTTTTATTACTCAATATTTTAATGACATGTGTTTTGACTGGATTGCCAAATGTTGTCATTTTTAGCAATATTATTTTCGAAAATGCCATGATGATGGAAGTTTCATATAAAAACATGACATTCTCAGTAGTTATGTCATTATCAGATAAGCAATAAAAATGCCATAAAATGACATAAGAATGACATTTTCTTATGAACATATGACATTTTCAAATTGTCATCCTGATAAATATACTGCCACAAATGTGTCAGTTGTTCAAATAACCAATAATTTTGACATTCTCATATTATAAAAGTGGCATTTTGTTGAATAAATATAATTAAAATCCAAAAAATCCAAATTAATATATAAAATTGAAATCCAAAAAATTCAAAGAAGAAGAGAACAGAGGACCAGAAATTTGAAGAGAATTAGAAGAAGAAGAAGAAGAAGAAGAAGAAGAAGAAGAAGAAGAAGAAGAAGAAGAAGAAGAAGAAGAAGAAGAAGAAGAAGAAGAAGAAGAAGAAGAAGAAGAAGAAGAAGAAGAAGAAGAAGAAGAAGAAGAAGAAGAAGAAGAAGAAGAAGAAGAAGAAGAAGAAGAAGAAGAAGAAGAAGAAGAAGAAGAAGAAGAAGAAGAAGAAGAAGAAGAAGAAGAAGAAGAAGAGGAGGAGGAGGAGGAGGAGGAGGAGGAGGAGGAGGAGGAGGAGGAGGAGGAGGAGGAGGAGGAGGAGGAGGAGGAGGAGGAGGAGGAGGAGGAGGAGGAGGAGGAGGAGGAGGAGGAGGAGGAGGAGGATGAGAGGAGGATACCTGTAATTGTTGGAGGAACCTGCAGCGGCTTCGATTGGGAGAGCTACGATTGATCTCGCCGATGGGAAGCTTTGATCTGCAGAGCGATGGTGCCGATGGGAGAAACACAAGAGGTGGGGGCCTGGGGCGGAAGAAATCGCAGAACAAAGAGGGAGAAGTTGAGTTGAATAAGAGGAAGTGTAAAATTGTAATGTGAAGTCCTATTTAGGGAATAAAAAACTTAAAGTCTCATTTAGAAATTTAGTCCATCTTTTAGTCCCATTTTGGGCAATTTTTTCTTTTTAAACCTTCCTTCATATAAGATTTTCCACATTTACTTTGCTTGATTTTCTTAAATAGTTACTCTCTCCTACTTGAGGCAAGATTTACTTAGACAGTTTTAATTTAAGGCACCTTTTATTTTAAGCATTTATTAATCTCGGTAGTAATTATTTTGACATAGTTTTTTATTTAAGGCCATGTGTAAAATTAAAATAGAATTTATTCAGACAGTTTTAATTCAAGGAAAATTTTATTTCTACCTATTTTTAATCTTGGTCGTAATTGTTTAAAAAAAAAGATCTCAGTAGAAGATTTTATTCATACTGAGTTTTTTATTTAAGGCCTTTTTAATAATATATGTTAGGTATGAACTTTTTTATTTATGTAATTTTTCCTTACTTCAGTACTTTATATTTTTTCAGCACACAATCCTCCCCTTAAGATATGCACGAATTTAAAACCATCCTTCATTTAGGATTTTCCTTATTTGGTTTACTTGGTTTGCTTAAACACTTGCTCTCTACTAAACCATAGAGAACAGTTATATATAGCCCCCTACCTGTACCTTTTTCCATATAATAAATTGGTGGTGTGTTAAAAAAAATAGCCCCCCTACCAATGCATACCATCATATTTGTGTCAAACGACCAGCAAGATGAATCACCATAAGAATCAAATTGCACCTAATTTGGTTCTGCAATGCCAACCTCCATTTCATCCCTCTCATCCATACATGGCAGTGATCAGCGACTCCAATGAACCCATGTGTGGTTTCAAGTTATCAAATTTAATCAACTATTTCTATGGTATAGTCAAAATATTATACATAAAAGAATAAATGGCTGGATTTTTTAATATGAATATAAGATTTCCAACCCGCATTTGTTTCTTTGATATTGTCGAGCAATATTAATGAGAGAAAAAACAGGCTTGGTCACAATTTATCAATTTTAATGAAGTGATTCAATGAGAGAGAAAACAGGGTTGATTTGATGATATCAATTTTAATCAATGTTTCTATGGTATAGTCGAAATCTTTTATTACCAGATTTTCATCCTTATATGAAACAACCGGTGTGGTGATTAGCTTTAGGAAGTTTTTGTTCTTCAGTCCTTTAGTTTGCCATCACAAGATCAAACCTCTCTTGCAGGTGATCTGGAAATAAATGGTCACATTGATTAGGTATAATGCTACTCTTTTCTCATTCATATAATTTGTGGCTCCTGCTGAATGTTTAGTAGTTGGCTTTCCAAGATTCGGCCAAATTTTAACTTTGAAAGTATTGAGATTTTGATTTAGAGACAATAAATCATTTAAATATTTTGGTAATTAAGTAAGGAGAAGTATCTCTCAAAAAGAGTAAAGAGAAGTATTTTCATATATCAAGTCGAGATTAGAGCTTGGCTATGTTGGTGTTTCTACACTCAATCCTCGACTAAAAGTTCGATAATATTTTGGCCTAAGCTTTGATTTTTTTTTAATTTGTCAACGATAGAATTGCTGAAATTGATGTTTATCTATTGATAATGATGTTTGTCTTTAAGATAACAATGCACTTCTTAAAGTGCTAAATATAGATAGTTTTTAAGAAAAATAAAACGGGGAACCAATACTATTTCATAGTATTTGATGCCCAAGGGTCCTAATCATTTTGAACAACTGGAGCGCACGTAAACAGTAAAACCTTTACTGTAAGAGGGTAGACAGTTCATGGTTTAGAAGGCATTTTAGGCTTGCTTTAGGGATTTGAGGCAAACTAATTTAGACTTGAACTTTCCTATGATGTCTCTATTCTGTATTTTAGGTTAGGGTAAACTAGGATCAAATTCACTTCATTGAGTTGAGTATTGAACATTTGAACCCGGGACCTCCCATAAGGGAGAGTGAGTCGGCGGACCAGCTAAGTTGGACCGCTTCCTCAAACTCATCTTAGAATAATCTACTTCTTCCATTCATTTATCTTTGACATCGTGTGAAGCTCAAAACACTTTTGTTTAAAGTATGTTAATTACATGCTACTGAATATGTAAGTTAGTTAGAAAATAGTAGACATACTCAATCCATTAGGGTTTGTGTGAATTGATCACAATAAAATCAACCAGGACAAAATAACTACATATGTAATCTATTTTCCCTTAAAAGTTTGAATCACCGGTTTAATTTACCACTGGAGTGTGTATTTTTTTCTAGAATGTGTTTTTGCTGATTGTTTATTTACTTGAATATATGCTTGCAGGTCATTCAATCTGATGGCACTAAGGGAGATCCTAGGGGAAGGTTTATTGGCCATTGAGATGTAATTGTGGTGAAAGAAATAGAGTTGGTGGTTTTTTTGTCTTGATGTGAATAAGAAGTCGTTTTCTTTCTAATGTTCTCACATAGTTGGTCTGTAACATTAGAGTTTGCTTTCATTCTTACTACAGTTGAATCAGGGGCATTACTTAGTTATACAAGTGTAGTAAGAGTTTGAAATTTGCGAGAAGCCACCAAATATGTCCAAAATATATTTGGAGTTGTATTAATTGGCTTAGATTTTGCTTGGTATAACGGATTGGAGCACCGGATGGACGAAGGTGAGGTAGGACGCTAGAGTGATAGCTAGGAGCCTAGGAGGAGTCTTTCTATAAACTTAACACCTATAGTCATAACCTATTTCAACAAATGTGTTGTAAATGAGACAAAAGTGTTTAATAATGTAAGAACACTATTATTTCTAAATCACAATATAAAATATTTACTTGGATGTAGTTCACCTGGTAGGTCTTGGATTTAGCTTCAAGTAAAGATTTAGAATGAAACCCCACTCTTTTCATTAATGCGTCATCATATTTTAGGAAAACTAATGAGTTTTAGTAATATTGAAGTATTTTTCCCATCTTATTTTTGTCCATGATTTTTTATTAATAATATTTTTGGAAAAATCTTCATAAAATATTTAATTGATTGGAGTGAATTTTAGGAAAAATCATCATTAAATCTTCAATAATATAATACTCCGAAAGTGTTTTCTCATTAAGCCTCTAATAATATTTTATAATAGCATGATATACACTAGAGTATATATATGCATTGCTACTATATATATGTATATTACACTTCAACGCACAGGTGGAATACTAGTTATGTTGATTATCGATCATTATCGATCACCTGATTACCCCACGTCCACAACTTTCAAGCCCAGGAATCCTGTATTGCTGTTGTTAGTTGTTACTATGATCCGTATTATTACTCTGTAATCTGTATTGCTGTTGTTAGTTGTTACTATGATCCGTATGTATGTTTTACTGTTGACTAAATGTGCCCTTTAGCAGTTTAGCGCTTTAGCCTGTAGCCTGCTATTTTTTAGGACAAATAGATTTATCACTGTATTTTCACATTGCACAAAAAATGGAATGTAAATTCCCACTTCTCATATTCTAGAATTGAATGACATCAGAAAAAAGAACGATTGACAATAATATTATAAAATACTGCCTCTACTTGCTCAAGCTTTATATCAGACGAACATGTAAAAAATAAATAAATGCACATGCCTTAACACCCCCCCCCCCCCTCATTAGAGTTTGTACAAAAGCCACCCCTGCTGTAGTGATGGAACCTTGCAATCGAGTTGAGAAGGAAAATGGAATCCTCTTGCCTTCCTCATATTCCAAACAAGCTTCTTAACTTGAAGATGCAAAAAATCTATACGCGTCTCGACCGCCGGGCAATGCCTCTGTGGCTGTGCTGTTATTTAATATTTATATGATCTTTTTGGATGGATACACCACAAAGGAATCTGTATGATCTTCTTCAACCATTTGCCACACTTAAAAGTGAAGTTGATGAACATTTCCATTTTCTTTAAGAAAATGTGCAACAGGCTGCAGGAAAATAATATACAACACTATTATAAGCATTTGCTTTTAAAAAATATGTAATCCCACTTTTGTCCCATGATTATTAGGTCATTTTCACTTTTGGTTGTCTTGCACAAAAATAACCTCAAAACCATGAGGACCAAAGTGGACAATTTGGTATCTAAATAGAGTAGCTCGATTAATATATCTGGGGCTTAAACCTGTTGTTTATGCATGCTAGAAAGGAAGAAAGGTTCCTTTTCTCTAATCCCACCATTCTTAGCAAATATTCTTTCTAAATCCTGCAATAACAAATATGATCAACTTAGATATTACTCTCTACTAACACACCATAACGATTATGGTCGAACTTAGACATAATTCTATTAAACAAAAGTATGAGCTTGTCCAACTAACTCCAATTTTGTTTCATTCTTTATATGAAGGGAGACAAAAACCAATTCAAAAGCCTTTTAAATTCTACAGAGGCAATGAATGTTTTATGACTTGTATGTGCCACAAATTTATTGGGTGATGATTAGTTGATCACATGGCTAATTTTTCATCACTGAAAATGTTACACATAGGAATGTCACCCACTTAATGTTACCATGTCGTCCCAGATTTTAAGTGGGCACTTGACAAACTTTTACCATTATTTTCTTGAGATAATTATCCCATGTATGACTAAATCTCTCCTACTTTCCCAATCTATGACCTACATTGTTTTTTCCCAAAATAAAATTTTAATTAATAATATTTAATTAATTTCGTAATTAATAAATAAACAAATATTATTTATCGACTAATATACCCTTCAGGCTATGCCTATAAAACCCTAATCTCCTATTCCTTTTCTCAACCCTAACCTCTAGCCCTCACTGCCTGCTGCTGCCATCCTGCTGCACAGCCACCAGCAGCCTGCTGCTGCATCCAGTCGACTTGTGCCGCCGTCCAGCTGCCTGCCGCCGCCGTCCAGACTCGTCTTTCTCATCTTCATTCATATCAACAAGATCGGCAGAAATGGGCTTTAATTCTGGCAGATTTGGATCAATCTCATAATTGGTGGTTGGCATACGCTGCTTCAAGGAACTCATAGCGTTCCACCTTCCAAGCATTGCGATGGTGTGGCCATAATCTTACAATAGAAGCAATGATTCTCCACTATGTGGGCATATCTTCTTTTTTAATTTTTGGTGGCGGTGGACTGTGGAGTTAGGGGCTTTTGTGGTTTTTGTGGTTTCTTTTTCTATGTGGGCATAAAATGAATTTAGGGTTTTTGTGGTTTCTTTTTCTATTTCTAGCAGGTTTATTTTTCTTTTTCTATTTATGGTTTTTGGGCTTCTTATTATATTTTTTTGGCAAAGAAAAACTCAGTTTATTTTTCCATGTTTTGAAATTAGGGTTTGTGGGGCATTGACATGGACAATAAACATGACAATAAGTCGTGTTGAATATGGACAGTGAACATGAGTCACATGACAATAGATAGTGTTATATATGGGTAGTGAATTAATGCATTGAGAAAGTGTGTTGTGCTGTAAATCGAAGGCAATAGATCGATAGCGTCACAACATTAGCGGGAAGTGCAATGATTATTTGCAGTGAATTGAAGGCAATAAAGCAGTAAAGCTGGCATGAATGCAATATATGCAACTGAACCTAAAATATTAAATTAAAGTTATTACATCTACAAATAAAAAAAGAACTATAATAAATTCGTAACGTGGATGAGAAGAAAATTAATATTGACGGGAAGTGCAGTGATTCTTACTGAATGTGCATTAATGTTGTGCAGTAATGTCGTGCAGTAAATGCAGCATAATGTGCAACATTATAAATTGGACGAAAATATTGTAAAATGCACATTTCTTAAATAAGGGTATTTTGGTCATTAAACGTTTTAATATGGACGAATTTTTCTTTTTCTTTTTTCTTTTCAGTCATACGAATGTCGAAAAACATAACTAGTCATATTTTGATAAAGTCGATATGTTTTAGTCATATCCCGGAATTACCTGTTTTCTTGCATTCTTTCTTCTTTTCTCCTTTCATAGCAATTTTCAAGGAGTGAAATAAGTATAGCTGGACTACGGTATGCACAATTTTCAAGATTAGCTAAAATTAAGTACTTATTGTTTATGAAATAACAAGTTACATAAGTTGACTACTATGTTTGGGTCTAATACATAACTATCGAGATAAAGACATCTCTTGACAATCTATTAGAGGCAAACATTAGTGCAATTTAACGTGGTATTAGTTCTGATTATTTGAAGGACATCATCCCACTTATTAGTTTGAGGCAATCCATTGCGGTTGATTTAGGCTTATTTGAACACCCCATATTTTGGCCAAGGGAGTATATACTATATAGGTCTTCTAGTGAGCCTCACCTCTTAAAGATTTTTTTAGGCAAATTCAATACAATATATTAGGGTGAAATATGATATGTCATTGAACTTGCTCGAAAGCACCTTACCTTGCCACTTAGGATTTCACATTCCAGCAATTCTTCAACAATCTTCTCAAGTACATCACGGTTGCTTAGAAGCATTGTTTTTGCTTTTTCATAAGCAAGATAGTACATCTGCACAAAATACAGACTCAATAACACAACATTCATTGAAATTGATTAGATATAATATAGCCAGGTGAAAGTGAGAAATGCAAATGATATAGAAATGCCAACACATTGGTCTATAACTGTGCACATTTTTATTTCAGATAATGTACATTTGTCAAATCTAACTTACAAGAATCATTCTTATTTCTCTCATTAATCATATTTTCATTTAGCCCAAAGTATATACACACACACAAATATAAATTTACATATACATATATATATCTATGGATAATACACACACACACATATAGTTTGAGAGGTGAAGCCAAAGAATTAATATTGGCCTTTGATTTGACAAAATAGAAGGATTGGATAAATTTTAAAGGCCAAAACACGGTGGCATTTCATAAATATAGGGAGCTTTTAGTAATACCACCTCCGTCCCATAATGGTTGTCTCATTTCAATTTGGCACGGTTATTAATAATGTGGTTGAAAAGTAAAAGTTGTGGTTGAGATTTGAGTAGAATGAAGTGAAATGATATGGACCACAAATTCTTACCAAAAAGGGAAACATGACATCCACTTTGGGACAACACAAAAAGGAAAGTAAGACTACCAGAGTGGCACGGAGGAGTAGTGAAAGAGCATAAATCTAATTAAAAACTGCACCAATACATAATAATTGTGCACAAATAGCTGAATGAAAATGTGCATGAAAAAAAAAGTTTAACAACAAATTTGCATATAGATAAAATGTACTTACTCCTAATTAAAATGATGCACTTTTGTTAATAAAGTCGCACTTTGAGTTTCATTTATTAACGATTACGACACAACATGTTTTGAGTAACTAATGCTCTAAACCATCCACTTTTTTTAGTGAAAAGGTCTGGATTAGTTCCTATTTTTCATGTGAAGACCTATATTGATTTCAACCTCAATGTTAAAGTATTTGTCCCACACCGGAAAGCTATAAAACAATAAAACATTATTTAAGGCGGAACACCGGGTCTTAATATGATATCAGAGTCAAGTTCGTTTGTAGTTTGACTGTTTGTTTTAGCACCCATGATTAAGGGTAGCTTGTTAAGGGTTTGTTTCGCCCATTTATACATCCCGATATTGTTCAGCCCGGTTTGGGCCGAGAGGGAGTGTTGAAGTACTTGTCCCCCAACGGAAAGCTATAAAACAATAAACCACTATATTAGGCTTTGGGTTACTACTCCTATCAGGTTGACCTTTTAGAATGGACCTCTGGGTCTTAACATATTGCTACCTCCGTTTCACTAACATTGGGGCATAAGGAGGTGGTACAATTATTAAGAAAAGCCAGTTCATGTGGGTGATATTGAATTGATAAAGTAAGAATAAAGTAAAAATGATTTAGAAATTAGAATACACAAATTTTGCCAAATTTGGTATGGGACAATCTTAGTGGGATGGATCAAAAAGAAAAGATGAGACAATCTTAGCGGGGCGGAGGGAGTAGTTGAAATATTGATGGTTGAATTAGCACACAAGAGCACCTCAGGGATGATATTGTGACTACCTAAAATATAGAAAATGAGAAACAATATTTACTCAAAGTCCAATGTTTATTATGAAAAGGCCAACATGTAACTTAAGGATTATTGAATAGTAAAAACAAGGGGAAGACAGTACAGTACCTTCTCGACTTTTGCAGCCAGCTCATATTGATTTTTGTTTCCCATACTCAAAGTTGTAACCTGTGGAGAAGTTCAAGAACAAAAGGAATGAGGAGATACATAAATATAAAATGGAATGAACCATATTCTTGATAGAATTCAGGTCAAACAACTTTAGGTTCAGAAGAAAAATAAACACTCATTAGTCCGTATATGATAGTAGCATAAAGAGATAGTGTCACTGATACACTGGTTATTCCATTTACAATTTTGTGAGCACACTTGTTTTTATGTGGCAAGCTCAATAACACGTTACACGAAAAGGGTCTTCAATATTGAAATGCAAAGATAATTCTTTATTATATACAAGAACATTTTCATTTACTAGTTAAACAAGCAGCAATTTCCATCATTTGCAATGGAGCCAAAGATTCACTATTCTTTGGCTTGAGAATATGATGGAATATAGCAAAATGGCTCACAAAACTGTTTGCGCTTCTTTGTTATGAAGCAATAGTCAGCCCATGCAACTTTGGATGCGATTTTCACTATGGGTCATCCGGAAACAGTCTCTATGTACTTTAGTACATGGATAAAAGTACATGGGTAAGACTGCATACATCCGACCCCCCCTTACCCCACCCTTTGCGGCACTGGGGTAAATGAAAATGAAAGTTAAACAAACAGCAACAAATACCGTATTGCCATGGTGGTAAATTATTGGGCTGCTGTCATCAGGCCCCCAACCATACTGAATCACCATCTTAGTAGCTATCTGTTACAAAACACCAGATAAAACAATCATGTACTGTCTTCAACAGTGAGATGAGACAATTGACATATTATTATTTCAAAAAATGTGGTGTGGGTAAACCTCCTGTGCCTGCTTCAACTCGGATTCAGAAAGAACATTATCCTCTCCAAATGGAAGCAACAGCTGAGCTGAAACATAAGATCCAAAGAAAAATACAAGTTTCTTTTCAAGATATGATCTTGACTCAACATTCCCATTAATTGAACCTTCATTTCTGGCCTTTGTGATCTTTGTGCACCCAATTCCCTACAGCAAAACATTGAACTTAGGAAAAAATTGGCCAAGTTTACTATGCAATTGCAGTTTCCGTTAAAGCTGAAAAGAAATGAGATGTAACATAGAAATAGCCTTCTCGAGCCTCATGAACCTAAGGGCTCTGAAAGGGACAGGATTGCGGTCTCATTTCTCAAAATCGAAAGAGATCTCCCATCAAGCACTAGGTGAAAATGGTGATGATCACCAGGGAATGGCAGGGTATAAATAATATGTATTGTCCCGGTACCAAAATGATACAGGCTAATTACTTCACATGTCATTCAATTCCGATTATGAAATGGATTATATCACATTTTACTACTAATGATAATATTCTCATCATTATCATTACCCCGGTGCTGCAAAGGTTCCCACCTTAGGTGGGGTGGGGGGGTCGGAGACTATTTCCGGATGACTCATAGTGAAAATCGCGCCGAAAATTGCATGGGTTAATTGTTGCTTCATAACAAAGAAGCGCAAACAGTTTAGTGAGCCGTTTTGCTTTATTCCATCATATTCCCAAGTCAAAAAAAATATGAGTCTTTGGCTTCATTGCAAATGATGGATATTAATGATAATATTCTCTGAATCTAAAATTGCAATACTCACTTAACTTACTTTTACATTGTCAGTCTTATTCTATATTTATGGATTGGCAAAACATTTAGAAATTCATGCATGTGTAACTGTGTGTGTTCCTTGTGTTGTGTGTCTAAACACATTATGGGGTGCTAGGACTGATAGCACAACAAAAAAGATAAAGTGGTGGAGACTCGGGGGATATCTCCAACAAACTTTTGCATAGATAATGACGCACATGTGGATGATGTGTGGTTTATCAATTGAGTCCACCGTTAACAAAGTGGCGAAAGAGATACTTGAGAATCTAAAGGACGTCTACCACCAAAAAGGACACATCTTGGTGGAAATATGAGGTCAAATAAGCAATAAGAACCAAAAGGGATTGATATAAGAAATTGGACAAAAGTTAGAGAGACGAGAACATAGAGGAGTTAAAAGAGGCTAGAAGAAGAGCAAAGAAAGTTGTAAAGGAAGCAAGAGGAAAAGTGAACAAGGAATTGTATGCAAAATTGGACTCGTGGGAAGGAGAAAAAGATATTTACAGACTTGCTCGTCTTCGTGACCGTAGAACTAAAGATATCGGAAAGTTAAGTATGTAAAAGATGTCGATCAAAGAGTACTAATAGAGGACGAGGAAATAAAAGAGAGGTGGAGGTCATACTTTGATACCTTGTTCAACGAGAATAAAGTGCAAGGTATTGATGATCTTACTGTACCAGAGTGTACGGTAAATCGGGACTTCGTGAGAAGGATTCAAATAACAGAAGTTAAAGAGGCCATGAGAAAGATGAAGCGGAAGAAAGCAGTGGGCCCAGATGAGTTGGAAAAGTTTGGGACAGAAAGGCATTGAGTGGCTAACACGTTTCTTCAACGTGATTTGAAGAAACAACAAATGCCAATGAGTTGGCGGAGGAGTACTCTCATTCACCTATCTAAAATAAGGGTGATGTACAAGAATGTGCCAACTATCGAGGAAGTAAGCTTATGAGTCACACCATGAAACTCTGGGAGCAAGTGGTTGAGCAAAGATTTCGAAAAAGTGTGAAAATTTTGGAGAATCAGTTTGGTTTTATGGCTGGACCTCAACAACCTCAACAACTGAGGCCATTCACCTTCTTAGACAAGTTGTGAAGAAGTATAGAGACATTAAAAAGGATCTGCATTTGGTGTTCATTGACTTAGAAAAGGCATATGATAGGGTACCTCGAGAAGTCCTTTGGTGGGTCTTAACTAGAAAAAGCATATCATATATGTACATCAATATCATCATGGATATGTATGAGGCTTGTATTACGAGTGTCCGTACTAGTGAAGGGAGGGCCGCAGAGTTCCATATTACTATCGGAGTGCACCAAGGAACGGCTCTCGGTCATTTCTTAATTGTTATAGTCATGGATGAACTAACGAAGTTAATTCAACAAGACATATTGTGGTGCATGATGTCGTCGACGATATTGTATTGATTGATGAAACATAATCGGGTGTTAAAGCAAAGTTGGAAGTATGACGACAAATGTTGGAGTCCAAGGGTTTCAGATTGAGCCAAAGCAAGATTGAGTATATGGAGTGCAAATTTGGTGGAGGTAGAAGTAGTAGCAACAATGAGATTACTCTTGATGGTAAGGAGATACCGGTGTCTGATATGTTTCGTTACTTGGGTTCCATAATTCAAAAGGATGGTGAATTAGATGAAGATGTATCCCATAGAATCAGAGCTGGGTGGATGAAATGGAAGAGTGCATCAGGATTTCTATGCGATCGAGGTATGTCGACTAGACTGAAAGGTAAATTTTATCAAACATCAATTAGGCATGCATTAATGTATGGCGTAGAGTGTTGGGTTGTGAAATTCAAAAGATGAGTGTGGCAGAGATGTGTATGTTGCGTTGACTGTGTGGACATACCAAAAAAGACCGTTTGAGGATTGAGATAATAGACAAACGGTGGGAGTAGCACCTATAGAAGATAAGATGCACTTGTTAGACGACTTGAGGGGTGGGGAGAAGAGATAGAGAGGAAAGGGAGGGGAAGATCCAAACAAACTTGGATTAGAGGAATCAAAATCGATATGCGTCTTCTTGGGTTGGATGAGAGTATGACTTTGGAGAGGGCAAAGTGGAGGGTCCACATTCGTGTGGACGATTGATCTCTTTTCTATTTTTCCTCTCTCGTTTTCTTTTATCGTTTATCTTCTTTGTCTTTTTATGATCTTATTATTTTTATTTTCTAGCTTTTTTATGCTCTTTTGTCTTTTAATCTTTTATCTATCTTATATTCGTGTATTATTGTTATCTTAAATTTATTTATCTTTATCTTACTCGTTTTATCCTTTTTCTTCTTGTCTGTCTTTTCTTTTTGGCATCAATATAATGGATCTAATTCATGTTAGCCGACCCCAAAATCTTTTGGGATCAAGGCTTGAATATTGTTGTTCTTTTTGACTCCGATATCATGGATTGACTCATATTAGCCGACCCCAAAATCTTTTGGGAATAAGGTTTGGTTGTTGTTGTATGCACCAGGAATACAACCTCATTAAACAGTGTATGCTCTTTCTACACATTTCTAGTGCATCCACGACTAACAGAGTTTCTTTAAACTCTAAACTATATACTCTGATATGATAAAAAAAACTTCAAGTTGGGTAAGTTTCAGCCCCTTCAACAAAATGAAGTGAAGCCCAAATCTCAACAAATGTCTGACAGGTGCATCATTGTGATGAAGATATTCTGAACTAAGTACTATTCTCTTTTGATGGGGGAACAGATAATTCTAGAGGATCCATGTACAATGATTCATCATGCCTAACAGATAAAGATAAAAGCTTTTCTTTGAAACCAAAGTACCTCCCAAGAGAAAGGTTCAAGCCATATATTATCAACAACATCAAAGTTGGGTAGAAGCAGAGCAACCAAACTGCGACCTGCAGCCCAAACAGCATGAGGAAACTTTGTTTCCTTTGTCCACTAATACAAGTTGAAGCAGAAAAACAAGTCAATCGAGTAACAGTACGAAGGTGGAGCAAATAAGAGCACCCTAATTTTCAATATTGACTCATTTAAGATACACAAACGGTCTAAGCACTACAAATATTAAAAACTGTAACCAGGAAAGCTAAATTATACTATGCTGACAAAATACAATAGCTACATACGCTGGAACATAGAGCTGCATGCCTGAATGAATAGAACAAATTGATGACTGAGCAAAAGAGCATAACTCACATCTAAAGGAGGATTTAGAAATTCTATTCCATTGCTTATCTGACCATATGGTTCCATCAGGTCAACCACATTATGCATGTCCTCTTTCGTCAATGAAAGCCCAAGATGATTTATCAACATTTTGCTAAATCTCTTTGCAATTCTTGTTTTCCTCACCCACTTGGGGACAAGGCCATCACAGGTCTGTGTGATAAAAAAATGGCACATTATACAATGTGCACTAAAATAGCTACACTAAAAATTCATAAATAATAACTATAATACTCAACCAATTACTCGACGAAGAAGGCTATAAGACCAAGGTAGTTGACAACATAGGTTGCAGTTCCTGATAAAACCCAATAGCCCCTGCCACCTTTCGCTCTACTAAAATTTTGCGATAATAGCATTTGTGAATGCTTAGAGGTGATATTTATAAATTCCATTTAATGACTCTATTTTGGGTACAGATGGATTACTTTGTAAACATTATCTTATTCAGAAACTTCTGCATTTAACCACCATCACACACAGATGGTCATGTGATATCCATCTATTATTCGAATGACGGCAGTGTTTGAGTCCCACCTTCCTCATCCATGAAAAGGACTCCATAGTCCAAAGATAATTCCATAAGCCAGCCCTGAATATGATTTTCCTTCAACACACCAACGTTGTAGGTATCTGATAGCAGAGCGGAGCAGCCAGCCTTGAAAAGGCTATAGTGGTATAGAGACTAGCAGGGGGACAGATGATATACAGAATATATAGTTATTAATTTCAGAGGAAGAAGAACAGTGTGTATAGTTGTACAAATAAGAATAACAATGGCAATAGGAAATATTGTGAGTTCTCCAAACTCCCTGGCTAAACTAATTGGGTAATTTTCTGGTATGTTTGTATTCAAATAATCCTTCTCTTAAATAGAGATATGAAGTTACAATGATTTGTGCATGAAGCACTTTTTTGAAATAGTCAACCACTAACCCATAATTAAAAACTAACACAAATTAAAAAGGCAATATTACACAGTATTAATTAATGCTGCAGCATGTTTCACGGGTCTCTTTTCTGTATGCATTATTGGTAGGTCCTGCGAAGGAACATATCATATATTTATATATGTAATTATATACTATGCAAGCATGTTGAATAATGAAATGATTTCTATAATCTTACTCAAACAGACGAAACATCAAGGGCATACATACAAGGAGAAAAGGAAGATGGGAGATAAAAAGGTAGAAAAGAAGAGCTAGGATAGGGCAAATGAAGACTTAGAGCACTCCCCTCATGTTGGAGTAGGGCTGGCATTTCAGATGAAAAAAAAACAAAAACCGAACCATTTTGGAAAAAACCGAACCGACTGAAAATGGGACCCGAAAATTGGGACCCATAAAAAACGGTTTAAACTTGGTTTATACTCCTAAAAAAATCGGTTTAAACTGAACCGACAGTTTTACAATAATAATAAAAATATTATTAGTAATAATAATACTACCTAATAGTTAATGAGAATTATCAACGTTATATTACCATCTTGAGATCAAAACTGTCGAACAAAGCTTGGTGGTAAGTTGGTCGTGAAGGGCAATGTATCTACATGAGGTCAAGGGAACGAATCCCATGTCCCCCCAGATTACATTTTTATAATGATTTTCTTTTCTTTTCAATGCTACCTTTTCCCACACCGGAAACGAGATGGTTACTCTTCCCAAAATATTTATATAAAGGACATCTACCAGCTGAAATTAGGATAACCGGGTATGCTCAGAAGTCACAACCAACGGGCTTGGATGATCTAATTTATAATGATCATCATAAACTTGTTTTGGGCTTAATATTGTTAAAATTAGTTAAATATTTATTTAGTTGTTCAATAAATCGGTTTTTTATCGGTATCTGATAAACTGAACCAAAAAATTGGGTCACAATTAATCGGTACGTGGTTTTTGATTGGTTCGGTTCCGGTTCTAATGTTAAGGAAAACCAAATTTTCGGTTCGGTGCTCGGTTTGGTCATATCAGATCGGGACCCGAACCGAAACCAGCCCTATGTTGGAGCATGTATATTAAAGGAATTTTATCAATTCGGAACCTGAAAGATAAAGTGTATCAGTATAGGACCCGAATGATGGAAAACTATCAATCTAGGACTCGAATGATTGAAAACTATCAATTTAGGACCTAAGTTTTCATAACTTTTATTACTTTTTTTATTTTTAAAATTTTAAATAATATTTAATTTTATTAAACTAATAAACTTTTGTGAAAAAAGATTCACCAAATATTAACAATGGAATTAATAAAAAATTAAATAAATCAAAACATATAAAATGATAGGTCTTAAATTGATAATTTTTCATCATTCGGCTCCTATCGCGATACATTTAATCTTTCAGGTCCCGAATTGATAATGCATCTTTCTTTCGGATCCCGAATAGATAAAATTCCTATATTAAATGTTCCGAGCTTTTAACATATATGATCAACACAAGGTACTCTTGGAGACTTGGTAAAATCCTCGACAAATTGATATTGAGAACCACAATAGCTGTGATAATATCTCCCAATCCAATATTCTCACAAATTAAATGACAATCCACCTCTATGTGTTTGGTTCTCTCGTGAAAAAATAGGATTATTAACAATATGTATGGCTGCCTGGTTAATTGATTATCACAAAACAATTTCATGGAATGAAGCTTGCAGAAGTAAAGTTCTGAAAGGAGATGCTTAACCCAAATGAGTTCACACAGTGCAAGAGCTATTGTTAATTATTCAGCTGCAGCACATGATCCTGCAACAACGTCCTGCATTTTATTTTTCCAACGTATTAAATTTCTTCAAAAGAGAACACTGCACCATGATGTGAATCTCCAATCCTTACGACAGCTAGCCCACACTGCATTTGTATACCCTACAACTTCAACGTGCTCATGATTTTCATATACCAAACCAACGCATTAGAGATTCTTACAGCTGCATCCCAAACCCCAATGCCCTTTACATGAAGAATGTAAGAACTGAGTAACTGACTCGTGACACTCATCGCAAATGAGATATCTGGATGAGTGAGGATAAGGTAGAGGAGCTTCCCCATAAGTCTTCGGTACCTACTAGGGTCATCTAAAGGCTATCCTGTCCCGGTAGAAGTTTGAGATAAGGATCCATTGGTATGTCAACTGGTTTGCGATCTAACATACCAGCTTCCTCGAGAAAATCCAAGGAATACTTGCAGTGGGAAACACATTCCCTGTTTCTATTGGGAAACTTCAATGCCCAAGAAGTACATCAGTTTACTAAGGTCCTTGGTTTTGAAGTATTGAAATAAGTGTTGTTTCAGTTGATGTATTCCTTTTTCATCATATCCGATAATTGCAACGTCATCAACATAAACCACCATAGAGATGCCAAAGCTTTCTCTATGTCTATAAAACACAGAATGATCAACCTTTACTTTGAAGCATGCCAAACTTTTGAACAATTCCATTGAATCTGTCAAACCACGCACATGGTGACGGCTTTAGCCCATAAAGTGAGCGTTTGAGGTGACAAACAAGATGGGTTCCCCTGTTGGATAAAACATGGCAGTTGGCTCCATATATACTGCCTCTTTAAGATCTCTATGCAAAAACACATTCTTGATGGTAACTGTTATCAAGGCCATTAACGGATAGCAGCCACAGATAAGAAATTAAGGACAGATGCAATATTGCAACAGGATAGAAAGTACTTGTGTTCACTATAATCAATACCAAGTACTTGTGTGTATCCGTAGGCTAATACTTTTTGTCCGCACACTTTCCCGTTGGGACCAACTTATCATTTGCGCAATGCAATTGGGCCATGAGGTGCGCCTCAGCTATATTTCGGCATGAGACGACAAAAAGCATTGCTTATTTTACGCGATGGGTAAGCATATACAATTTGAACTTGAGGCGTACGCAATTTTGGAGCATGGTTTAAGTGTATTATTTAGGGCCACTTAACAAAAAGGGCACACTTTTTGTTATTAATCTTGTACTGTGTGCCTCTCTTCTCAATCTGCGTATCGTATAAACTTTCAAGTCACAACTCACAGACTTAAACCCTCCTCTCCTCCTCTGCAACTTTGTTCAATCTGTGTTTTATATTATAAAACTCCTCTACACTTGATCCCTATTTCAAACTACTAGATAAGAATTACAAGATGATTCAATTTTTCATTCATCAATCTAATCAATCTAATAATCTTAAAGTTTTGATATGCTAGCAATTTAGTTTTGATGAATGGTTCAAAATTTGCTAGTATGTGGTTTGACGTGTGGATTATGTCCTCATATTATTAGTTATAATATGCCATATGTGAGCTTTTAATGAGTATTTTATTTTTTATTGTATGTGTATGTGTTTTACGTGTCACGTTTACGCCTCATTGCACAATGAGGCGTACACAAATGCAATTTTAAAAATCGCCCCAACTACAAAATATGCAATTTCAAACCTTGGTTCTTTCAAGACTTTGTTTGCATGAACAGAATTTCTTCCATTCATTGGTTTTGTTTATTTAATTTATTAATTCAAAAGGGAAGCATAGAAAAGTATACGTAAATCATCAGTCCATTTCTGTACAAACATAAAGACTAACATCAAAGAGAGAAATTTATGACAAAACAGTTTCCCTAAAAAGAGGGTAAGAAGGTTTAAATGTGGTATCACTCAGTAGTATAGGTGTTGGAAGAGTTCTTACGGCAAACCAGCTGCGGTAGCTCATGAGTTCATCAGAATCAAGGAATTTACTTCTGAAGGCGCTACCTTCTAAGGCCACAGGAACAAGCTTTAGTTCTATGGGGCGTAAAAGAGCTGTTTTCTCAGCAACCTGCACGAGGATTATAAAATTAGAAGTATGTTAGACATAACCAGTTTCTTCTTAATTATTATATTTAAACATAAAATGAAGTAACCGTAGCAACAATAACTTGCACCAAAAAGGAAACTACATAACATCAAAGAAAAAGAATACATGTATTTCTATTCACAATAAACTCTAAAAGTCTAAAACTACAGAATACTGTTTTTTGTCGGTTTCTATACTATCCCACTTGAATTCAACCTCTTTCTTGAGGTGAACTGGTTTCGCATTCTGAGTGCAATATATGAAACTGGGTCATACAAAATAGAAATATCAGTACATGCATTGAAACTTGCACGGGAAATCTCCACAGAAAATGCAGCTCAAAACCAAAATGAAAACCCAAATTCTCAGGATTTGAGAATTCAGATATCCCAAAGCCTGCATATAAAGAACTTAGCTTACTTTAAAATGTTCATTCAGCCCTGTGGCTCTTTCCCTGCAATCGAGTCCATTTGCGATGTTAACTGAAAACCTACTGATGTAGCATTCTATCCAGTCAAGTTCAAGAATGAAATTCCAGTTCAGGAAGCTGTGGGTTAACATTCTAATCAAGTTAAAGTCTAAGCTAAGTATGTTGACTATGTTCTAGTTCAATTCAAGATAAAGCAGGAGTAAAACCAATTTAACGCATCAATCTATAGTGTAGTAGTGTCAAAAGACTTTTGTAACAAGCTAGAGCATTTGAACTTTATGATCTAGCTAAAGACTGTCGAATATGCCATACCTCTATGATAGGCAGGTGTCCCAGCCTATTAAATATTTTGACAAGGTGTACAAAAGGAGGAATAAGTAATCAGTTGTGATTTAAATAAGTGGTAAGTCAGGCGGGTGTGCCTTAAGTTGAAAGGTGGCTATAAATAGAAAGTAGGAAAGCTGAGATAGGCGGCTGAGAATTCTGTTGGCTGGTAGTTGGAGACTGGGCATCTCGAATGGTCCCTAAGCTTGTACACCTACTTTGATTTCTTCCTTATTCAATAAAATCCTGTGAACTGTTCTTCTTTGATTATCGTTGTATTCAATTGTTCTGAATTGATTGCCAGTGTCTATCATTGGTATCAGAGCAATACGTTCCTGGTGACCTTAACGTTGATCGGAAAGTGTGTCGCAACATCAGGAAGTAGTCGTTCAAGGTGTGGATGGTCAGAACAAGAGCTAAAATGGAGCATCGAGTAGATTCACTGGAGCGCAGCCTTCTGGAAGTACGTACGGAGTTACAGACGGAGTTGAGATCTGCGATGGAAAGTATCAACGCATCTATGGCAGCGATGAATGAAAAACTGGGATCCAGGGGGAGAACGCGATCGCCACACAGTCCCGTACATTCAAGAGGTAACTCAGTTCATTCTAATATCAATGATCATCGTCGTAGTGATGAAAATGCGAGAATACCTGTACGTAATGGGAGAAGGATAGATTTACCATTGTTTAACGGGGAAGGAGCCTATAACTGGATTATTAGAATGGAAATGTATTTTCGATTGAACCATATTGACGATGATGAGAAGGTTGAGGCATCTATGGTTGCTATGGAGGATAGAGCCTTGAATTGGTTTCACTTGTGGGAGAATCAGACTGAAGAAACGAGTTGGGAGGCGTTGAAGAAATCTATTATTCGTAGATTTCAACCAGAGTTAATTCAGAACCCTTACGGACCTATTCTGAGTCTGAAACAAACGGGAACCATGCTGGAGTATAGGGAGGAATTTGAAATGGTGATGGCACCACAACAGAACATGGATACAGATTTGTTGAGGGGGATTTTCATCACAGGTTTGAAGAAGGAAGTGAAATCTGAATTGAAACTGTATGCTTCCAAGTCCCTAACTGAAACCATGGATAAAGCTATACTGATTGAGCAGAAGAACGAGGCAATCTATTCTAAAAGAAAGGAGGATGACAAATTAATGGGGAAGGAGAGAGGACCCATACCATTGAAGGTTCAGAATTGGGGAGAAGGGTACAAGTCCAAATCTGGCAGTGCTGGCGCTTATAATAGTGAGAAGAATGGATCAGGTAGTAAGAATTCTCAGCCCTGGTTCAATCCTAAGGGGGCCAGAGTGACAGAGATTCATCCTTCAGGAATCAAAAGGGTGGGCCCTCAGTTGTCCCAGGAGGAGTATCAGGAAAGGAGTAGAAAAGGCCTATGTTTCAATTGTGGTGACAAATGGAGTAAGGAACACACATGCAAATTGAAAAATTACAAACTGATTTTGGTGGAAGATTCTGAGGAAGAAGCAGAATGTGAGGAAGAAAATGGAGTCAGTTCAGATGAGGAGGAGGTTGTCATGGAATCCAAATCCATGCAACTGTCACGCATGAGCAAGGAAGGCATTCCTTCCATGAGAGCTTTTAAAGTAAGAGGTTACTTAAAATGGAAGCTAGGAGAACAGGAAGTGGATGTCTTGATTGATAGTGGAGCTACTCACAACTTCATATCCCAAGGGTTGGTAGATCAATTGAAAATACCCTATCAAATCATTACAGGATATAAAGTGCAGATTGGGAATGGAGATAAAATAGCTAACAATGGTAGATGTGAAGGGTTAGCTTTATGTTTACAGAAAGCAGTGGTACAGCAAGATTTTTACATCCTGGAACTGGGGGGAACCGATGTAGTGCTGGGGATGGAGTGGTTGGCAAGTTTGGGGGATGTAGAAGTCAACTTCCAAAAGCAGACTATAAGAGGGAAGGAACAAGGACAGGAGCAGATGCTACAAGGGGATCCACAGCTAAACTCTTTGGAAGTTTCACTGAAAACCATGACTCAAATATTACAAGATGCAGGGGATGGGTACTTGGTGTTTTGTGAAGGAAAATCTGTAGTTTCAGTAGAAGGGGGGCAGAAGAAGACAATTGGAAGCAAATATTGGTTGAATTCCCAGAAGAGGTCCAACCCAGGAAGCAATTGCCACCAAGAAGAAGTTGTGATCATGCCATTCACATTCACAAAGGAGCTTGCATCCCTAATATCAGACCTTATAGGTACCCACAGTACCAGAAGACAGAGATTGAGAGGATTATAAAAGAAATGTTGTATGAGGGTATAATTCAACACAGCAATAGCCCTTACAGTAGTCCTATTCTACTGGTAAAGAAGAAAGATGGGGGGTGGAGATTCTGTGGTGATTATAGGGCTCTAAACAGAATTACTATCCCTGATAAGTATCATATACCCATCATTGAAGAACTTTGGGATGAATTGGGTGGGGGAACCATTTTTTCTAAGCTGGATCTGAAATCTGGATATCACCAGATAAGAATGGAGGAGGATAGACAGAAAACTACATTTAGGACTCATGAGGGGCATTATGAGTATTTGGTAATGCCCTTTGGTCTGACAAATGCGCCATCAACTTTTCAAACCCTTATGAATCAAGTTCTGAGGCCTTTTCTGAGGAAGTTTGCTTTGGTTTTCTTTGATGATATCTTGGTTTATAGCAAATCAGTGGAGGGACATCAAGAACATTTAAGGAAGGTTCTGGGGGCTTTACAAGATAATCAGCTGGTGATTAATGCAAAGAAATGTTCGTTCGGACAGTCTAAATTAATTTACTTGGGTCATATTATATCTGGTGGGGGGGTAGCTGCAGACCCTACAAAGATTGAGGCAATGACCATGTGGCCTGAACCCAACGACTTGAAGGGGTTGAGGGGATTTCTGGGACTGACAGGTTATTACAGAAGGTTTGTACAGGGATATAGCAAGATTGCTCTACCTCTAACACAACTACTGAAGAAAGATAGTTTTCATTGGGGACCAGAGGCTACCAAGGCTTTTGAGGAGTTAAAGAAAACTATGACTACCCTTCCAGTTCTGGCAACACCAGATTTTGATAAAATGTTTATAGTGGAGACTGATACATCTGGGACAGGTCTGGGAGCTGTACTTATGCAGGAAGGAAGGCCCATTGCCTATATGAGCAAGGAGTTATCCCAGAGAAATCAGCATAGATCAGTGTATGAGAGGGAGCTGATGGCTATAGTATTAGCAGTCCAGAAATGGAGACCATACCTTTTGGGAAGAATGTTTGAAATCCACACAGATCAGAAAAGTTTGAGATTTTTGACTGAGCAACGACTAATGGGGGAAGAGCAACAAAAATGGACTTCCAAGCTATTGGGGTTTAATTTCATTATCAAGTACAAACCAGGGGTGGAAAACAGAGTTGCAGATGCATTATCCAGAAGACCATTCTTACATTCTCTATCCATTGTTACTTGTCAAGAATGGGAGGGGTTAGAAGAGGAACTGCTGGAGGATCCTAAATGTTTGACACTGCTTCAGAATCTGATTTCAAAGCCAGACCAATATCCAGATTTCCAGAATAAGAAGGGGTTACTCTACTACAAAGGGAAACTAGTGTTACCTAGTGCATCCCCTAGAGTGACCAAAATATTGAATGAATATCACAGTTCAGCAGTAGGAGGGCATTCTGGGTATTTCAGGACCATGAAGAGGGTTTCTAATTTGTTTTATTGGCATGGAATGAGGAAGGATATAAAGAAGTTTGTGGAAGAATGCCCTACATGTCAGACAAACAAATATCAAGCCTTAAAACCAGCCGGATTGATTCAGCCATTACCTATTCCTCAGAATATCTGGACTGATATCAGCATGGACTTTATAGGAGGTCTGCCTACATCACAGGAGAAGGACACTATCATGGTGGTGGTGGATAGGCTGACAAAATCAGCTCACTTCTTGGCTTTATCCCACCCTTTTACTGCCAAAGAAGTAGCTGACTTATTTACAAAGGAGATTGTCAAATTGCATGGTTTTCCAAAAACCATTGTTAGTGACAGAGATCGAATCTTCCTGAGTACTTTTTGGTCTGAAATCTTCAAACTGGCTGGAACCCAACTCAAATACAGCACTGCATATCATCCCCAGACTGATGGCCAAACTGAAGTGGTCAACAGATGCTTGGAGACTTATATGAGGTGCCTTACAGGGAGTAAGCCTAAGCAGTGGGTCAAATGGTTGGCATGGGCTGAATTCTGGTACAATACAAATTACCACACTTCATTGAAAATGACACCTTACAAAGCTCTATATGGTCAGGAACCCCCTACTGTGATTAGAGGGGATGTCACTTTGACTGCGGTGGAGGAAGTTTCTAAGCTAACAGCTCAAAGAAATATGATACTTAAAGAGTTGAAGGAAAATCTGGAAAAAACCCAAAATCAGATGAGACAGCAAGCAAACAAGCATAGAAGGGAGGTGGTTCTAAATGTTGGGGACAAGGTCTATTTGAAGATTCAACCATATAAACTTCAGAGTTTAGCCAAAAGATTCAACCAGAAACTCAGTCCTAGGTACTATGGTCCATTTGAGATAATGGAGAAACTCAGTTCTGTAGCCTTTAAGCTTAAACTCTCAGAAGATAGTAAAGTGCATCCAGTGTTTCACATTTCCCTACTAAAGAAGGCCCTATCCCCTACAACTGTTTTTCAGCCTCTACCTAAATGCCTCAGTGAAGAATGGGAATTACAAGTCAGTCCGGAAGAGGTTTTGGACTCAAGGATGAACAAAGAAGGCAAGATAGAAGTCCTAGTACACTGGAAGGACCTACCACAGTTTGAAGATTCTTGGGAACCATTGCAAGCTCTAGCAGATCAATTTCCAGGTCTTCACCTTGAGGACAAGGTGAAATTTCAGGGGGGGAGTAATGATAGGCAGGTGTCCCAGCCTATTAAATATTTTGACAAGGTGTACAAAAGGAGGAATAAGTAATCAGTTGTGATTTAAATAAGTGGTAAGTCAGGCGGGTGTGCCTTAAGTTGACAGGTGGCTATAAATAGAAAGTAGGAAAGCTGAGATAGGCGGCTGAGAATTCTGTTGGCTGGTAGTTGGAGACTGGGCATCTCGAATGGTCCCTAAGCTTGTACACCTACATTGATTTCTTCCTTATTCAATAAAATCCTGTGAACTGTTCTTCTTTGATTATCGTTGTATTCAATTGTTCTGAATTGATTGCCAGTGTCTATCACTCTAGCACAAATCTAGAGCAACTTAATCAGCACGACAGCACGTATGGCACACCTAGCTCTTTGCATTGGTTATACATACACAAACAAGTTCTTATAATGGCAAAACTTCAGTTATCAACACAAAAGCCATATCGTACACACAATTTGACAGAAATGTGTTCTTAAAATTTCAATAACAACAAAACAACCACTAATGTGAGAGCCATATTACCTTTGTCCAGTCAACAGAATCAATAAGCTTCTCGTCCATGGTTTCTTTAGCAGCAATCTTTAATATGCTTTCCCTTTCTGCCTGGGTCGGTTGTTGAAGATGAAATATTCTATCCATCCTACCAGGACGTTGCAATGCTTCATCAATTTGACTGAGATCTCTTGTTGTAGCCATTAAGACCACACCATCTTGCTTCTCAAAGCTTCACAAAAAGTCTCATCATGTCTCATGATATGTTAAGAAAAGCAACTCAACATCCAAATTAAAATTAAGATAAGGTTCCGCAGCAAGTCAAGGTGCTTAATGTTTCACTAAAGCCGCTATGCGTAGGAAGGAAAAAACCAACACACATAATGTTTCTGTGTAACATATCTTTATGCATGATGCATGAAATAACGATAAATTGTCCATTTGTCCTCCGCGCCCATGTTTGTTGGCAGGGAGAATGGTAGAAAGGGAAAGAAGCAAGACTACTGTTTATGTATTCATTAAAAACATAAAAGTGATGTACAAGAATGTGCCAAATATCAATGGATTAAGCTTATGAGTCATACAATGAAACTTCAGGGGCGAGTCATTGACCAAAGGCTATGAAGGGTGAAAGTTTTGGAGAATCAATTTGGTTATATACTTATATGTCGGGTCGCTCAACAACTAAGATGTGTGATAGGGAAGAAGTCCTCTAGTAGGCATTAGCTATAAAAGGCACATCAAGTAAGTAAATTAACATCATTATGGACATGTATGAAGATTATACCACAAGTATTTGTACTAGTGTACGGAGGACTGCAAAGCACCCAGTATCACGACTATCGGGGTGCACCTAGGGTTGACTCTAAGTCCTTTCTTGTTTTCCCTAATCATGGATAAAATCAAGAACTTAATTCATGAAGATATATCATGGTTTATGATGTTTCATGTTTGCAGATATTGTATTGATCGATGAGACGAGATCAGGTGTTAAAGCGAAGTTGGAACTATGCTGACAAACTCTGAATGGCAAGGGTCCCAAACTGAATATATGGAAATATGGAATGCAAGTTTAGTAATGGAAGAGAGAGATAACAGTGAGATTACCTTGATGGAATTCATAGGAGGACAGGTATGCAATTTTGTTATGTGGTCTAACTCTTCTTTGGGGAGTGGAGACCAAATCCATATCCAGGACTCTTCTTGTAATTTCATTGATGTTTGGGTAAACTTGGAAGTGGATGATTCACTTGATCACTTCACAGTTTGTTGTGTTCCCTTAGTTAACACTCTCAACTACCATGGCTGGTCATGGGCTCGTTCTGGGCCCTGTCGCCTGCTGTACTGTTTGCCCCAGAACGCATCCATAACAGGTTCCTCATCCGCCTTGGTTGATAAGAGGGTTTCAGGAGGCTATTTGGGCTAGTGGACTCCACAATTTCTCCTTTGAAGGACATCAGTTCACTTGGGCGAGATGACGAGGTTCTCCTATTTGGGTGGAAGAGAAGTTAGACAGAATCGTGGTTTCAGATAACAGGTTAGATCGGTTTGCGGCGGCAGCAGTAGTTGAATCCTTGGAGGGATCCCCTAGAGATCGAAGAAAAAGATTTAAGTGTCTTTTCCATACTAGAGGGGTAAAGCGAGGAATCTCTGCTGCTCTTATTGGTCAGGTGTCTGGTGGCTATGGAAGGATGATGAGCAGCAGGTTGGAATTTAACAGGCCAGTCGAATTCTTCATTTCTGGAATGGCTGGAGTGGGTTTTTCACTTGAAACCTGAAAAGGAGCTGCAGGGTTTGGTTTGGGGCTGCTGGGGTTTATTGCGTGAGAGGGACAGGAGAGTTTGGCAGGGAAAGAGCTTCAATGCTTTCTCAATTCATGTTGCAGGCAAAGGCTTTTGTTGAAGGTTGGCTCCAGGCGCAGCAAGGTTGAGAGGTAGAAGATGATTTGCAGAGGAGGTTATCTTTGTGGAAATGCCCGAATGCAGGCTGTAGTAAGCTTAACATTGATGCTTTTACAGGTGTGGCCGGTTGTGGTTTCGGATGGGTCCTTCGAGATGAGGATGGGGAATTTTAGCAGGGGGACTAAATCTTGGATGGGGAAGTGTTCCATTTTGGAAGCTGAGTTATTGGGAATCAGGGAATCTCTTAGCTGGTTAAAGGATCAAGAGTGGGAAGTTGTGGAAGTGGAGTCAGATGCTTTGCAAGCTATTTCTGAAATTCGCAATGGGATGGGCATTTCTACTGTTGGCATTCTAGCTGAGGATATTCGAGAGTTGAGTTCGAAGTTCACTAAAAAAATTATTCGTATGTTAGGCGATCTGCGAATAGAGCCACTTATGAATTATCTAGGGTGGCATCTTGGTTTAAAAAAGTGCGCCTGAGGCGCGCAAAGGCGCGAGGCGCCCTAAGGCGATCACTTTATCGCATCTTCCACCCCCAGGCGGCATAGGTTCCAAGAGGCGCGCCTTATATGGCGCTTTTTGACGCCTTTTGCGCCTCTGAGAGGCTCGCGCTTCTCACGCATCATGGATGTCTCTTTTGGCGATTGAGTCTCTAGTCTTCTCCCTTCTTCCTTATGCGTTTGGTTTGCTTCCGAGTTCCCACATCTGCAGTCCTGTTTCTTGTTCGCGTAGCAAGACTCGCAAGTCTGTTTCTTCCGCTACTTTCTCGCGTCACAGAGTAGTCGCAGGTAAGTATTTATTTCTTCTCTTCTACAGTTTGTTCTCTTATACGTGTGATAGTTTACTAATTAAGTATGTATTATTTTATATTTTATTACCTTGAAATTGTAGTGTTACTACCTCAGTTGGTCTGTTCTAGATCATGCTGAGTAGGGTACCTAAATATTTGATTTTATTTAACAAATATATAAGACAGATTTTATTATTAACAATTTTTTATATAACATCTTATTAATTATGTTTTGAAATTTTAAGATTGAGTTTTATGACTTGACTCTTGCCAATGATGCCGTTTGATATTTATTTCTTGCTATTGTCTTAATAAATATTTGATTTGTCTTATGATGTATGTTAAGATTGTTTAATAGTTTGAAGTATTTTTGTGATGTTATCATTTTTTGAGATGAGTGCTTCATGTAGAAAACTAGAAATATTATACTATATATCTTACCAAAGATATGATGTTAAGATCCGTGAGGCGCGCGCCTCGTCGCCTAGCGCCTCGTGCCTCGGGTAAATCAATGAAAACGCCTCGTGCCGCCTCGCGCCTTTTAAAACTAAGGGTGGCATGCTGATAGTCGTATCTGGTTGCTTAATCCCCCTTGCTGTATTGTTGATGTCTTAAACTTTGATTTTATCAATGCTAGTTAGAAATTTTCTCCGAAAAAAGCATAAAAGTGTCACTGTTTTCTACTAGTGGTTTTACTATAAGAACATACAGTTATGATGATCTAATTTATAAGTTCAGACTAGCACACAGCAAAGAGGTTGATTAATAAAAGAAATCTTACCCATCAAGCTCCACCAAAAGTTGATTAATAAAAGCTTCATGATCTTGCTTCCCTGTGTGAATATATTTGCCTCTGACACCAGCAAAGAGGTCAAAATCCTCCACAAAGATAATGACAGGTGCCTAAGAATGGAAAATGTTATTAAACAAGCTCACATATACAATAAATCATTTTTATCTAGAACTCTATATAGAGAAGTATGACTTTGGTCTTTTAGCTCCCGAAAGGGGGAGAGAAACACATCATGGCTTGACAATCTTTCTCCATAGAGAAAGAATATTAGATGGTTTTGAATATAATATGAGCCTAATTTATGAGCTGTAGTATATACAAGTACAATACACAACTTACAAGGAAGTTTGCCAAATGTTGCAAGTTTGCAACTGACCATATCAAATAACGGACAACTCTTAAGAACTACTAAATTATTTTATCACTAATTGCCGTGTATATGAACAGTATTGGGCATTGAAATCTAAATCCTTCTTATCAATTACAAAGCATCATATAGCTCTTCATATTTCATTATTTCCAAACCTGTTAATTACAAAATAAAAAATATTTAAAGAACTTACTCACCACATCATACATGTATATGACGCCCTGGTGCAACGGCCAGGCAAAACACTAGTAATATAACAGATTATTTTTACGGGGTAATTCTTACACAGTACTGAATTATTTTATCATTGGTCAGAATTTGTATAACTAGTCCGTCCCGGTAAAAGTAACATAAAATATTGTTTTTGTTTTCATCCCTGTATTATGCTCTATTTTGTTTTTAGTCCATCTCTAAATCCGGAACCACTATGTAGATAAAAAGTTATTGATAGGTGCAAAATGTAGATAAATCTTTTTTCATCATTTACAATAGAGCTAACACTCACTATTTTTTGGCTTGGGAATATGATGGAATAAAGCAAAATGGTTCACTAAATTGTTTGCGCTTCTTTGTTGTGAAGCAGCAGTCAGTCCATGCAACTTTCGAGGCGATTTTTACCATTGGTCATTCGGAAACAATATGTTGTGCTTTAGCACAGGAATAAGATTTGCGGCACTAGGGTAATGATGATGATGATAGGTGCATAAATCTACTACAAACTATTAAATTTATCCTTTTATATTTTTTGGCTAATATGAGAGTTAAAACAATGTAAAACTAATTATTCACATTTTCGAAAAATATATTAAAACTCTTCTAAAAAATAAAAATTATATACTTTTTGCATAACATGATAAAGAATTAGGGGAAACCTATTAATCGTGGTTATTTTGTTGTCAAATGGAAGTTATTATCATCGGTGATGGACTAAAAAGGAAATCAACTTAAATTTCAAGGATGAAAAACAAAAATGCAAGGAAGTAAAACAAAATGTACTATATTTGAAGGGACTAAAAACATATTTAAACCTTATCCGTTTTCATTAGACATAATATATGACATCGTGAATCAGGGTTAGGTGCTTCACACACACGTCCAGTATATTTTATAGCTCAGCCACCCAAGTCATGTTCAAACTCATTTGAGGTCAATGATTGGTTGTAAAAAGTGAGCTTGAACACTTATAAAGCTGAAGAAGCCAAGCTCAAATATACCCTTGTATGTTCATGCTAGACTGATTAACCCTAAAGAAGGCATAGATAATACCAGATCACGAGCTGTCTGAAATAGCTCTCTAACATTTGATGCACTCTGTCCAACCCATAAATCACCCTCCAACTGTTGTGCTTTAACTTCGACAACTGGAACCCTCGACTCCGCAGCTATCGCCAATGTAAGAGAAGTCTTCCCAGTTCCCCTTTCACCCACAATAAGAACACCCTGTGATATCATATATAATGTCAGACATTATTACACAAGGCAACAAAAAATGAGCAAACCAAACTTTTTGCATCTGGGTATATCGTGTTGAACAAAATATAATCATATATGTATAGGTTCATCTTCAAATACAAAAGTTGCAATCCTAACACCACAAACAGACAGAACTAAAAATATAGCCTGACAAGTGACAATATATTGATAAAGTGTGCAATAACAAATAAATAAAAAACAGTGGTAATGCGTTGAGAGGACTGAAGCTTGACTGGTCTGGTCTGGTAGACTGGTACGTGGTTTGCCAGAGAGATACAACTGTCCTAATGAGACAGCTTAATCAGAGCTGCGTGATTGAGTGGAAGGATACTAGGGGCCTGAAGCTTCTAGAGTGTAACACTATATTTTTCAGATTCCAAATGGATTGGAAGGACATTTTCATTTTTCACACAGGATTACACTGTTACTAAAATGCATCTCCTCCCTTCACATATCGAACAATCACTTTTCTTGCAAAAGCTCCGAAAAATGTCTTTGGGTTCAGCTATACATGCCACATTGATTTTGGAGAGACTAGTAGGGGATCAGGGGGATCATAATCTCGATTATTCATGCAAAAAAGCATGAAAAGAAAACCTAAACTCCATGGGTATAATGTAGTTTCATATCCAGCAAATGGAATATACATAAAGCACCACTAGAGAGAGGAGAAGGGAGAAACAGAAAAGCTTATATTTAACTAGACAGCATAAACTAGAAGAAAATGTTAATAATTAGCCTCTGTCAGGAACTTAATCAAAACACATACCCGAGGGGCACGAGCTCCCATTTCTTGAAAGGCACGTGGATTTTGCAAGAATGCCACCACTTCATTGATTTCTTCTTTCATAGACTCAACACTTGCAAAGTCTTTCAACCTTATAGGTGGGTTCTTTATCCTCTGGCAAAACAAACAATCTTTAAATAATTGATCCATTAAATTCCATGTGAAACATGCTTCTTGACATCAAAAACTAAGAACCTTCATTTGATCAAAAGCTGTGCTGATTGGATCAATACCACCTCTTCTCTTACGTTTTATTTTCTTTGTTCTATAATCAAAGTATGTTTTCTGCAAGAATGTAAGAAAATACAAACAAGTAAAATGGTATCAACAATGTAACACTTCTTTGATAGCATTAAAATATTAGAAAACTACATGTGGGATGAATACCTACCTACAAACTGAGGGGTAAATTTCCATCAGGAAAAAGACAACTACGGTTTATGCTTGATAAGAAAACAAACTGACAAATACAATATTTCTACATCCAAAAAATTCTTTTAGAGCAAACAAATTGCACTACTGAATGTGAAATAAGAATTAATTTATGTTTAGAAAGAGTCCTTCATAATAATGAACTAATGATGCTTATAGACTTGCATTTGGAAATTAAATATGGCACAAGTAAAGCAGTTTCAGATATTTAGTCTGAATAGTAAGCATCGTAATTATACCACTCTCTTCAATTTCTTGAAGTTTGGATATCTTCGAATCGGCCCAAAACCAAGAACTCTTGAAATTTTCCTCCTCATAAAGCTAACAATATGATACAGCACATACCCATATATTACAGTTCTAATTAAAATCCTCATATACCACATAAGTCCATCCTGCTTTCTTGATCTAAAATTCATTTCGGCCTCAGCTTGCCACTTCAAGTACCACGAAGAGGATGCATTTTGATCTGAATACTCAGGCCAAGCCATACCCAAGTGCATCCTTACCTGTTTCAGGCAATTAAAGAATATATATACATATATATAGTTACTTGAGAAAAAGACTTTGATTTATTTGTTTAGAATGAATACCGGGTAAGGGATGACAAACTCCACCAAGGGAAAAACAACTATCATCATTATGTCATCCATTGTAACACCGACTCTGCTGGAAACCCAGTCCCTTCCATTTGAAATGATGCTAGTATTCCACAGTCCTGCTAAGCATCGACAAAAAATATCTGCAACCACCAGAAATTGTTGATGGACCTCCATCTCAGAGAAAGGAATCCACATCAGCTGGACAACAGTTGGGATTTTAGAGGAGATCATTCTCAAATACAATCCATCAAACCCTCCAAATTCTTCAAAAATCATGTCAAATTCCTGGAGATTTACTAGCATTAAAGAAAGCACATGAAAGGTAACTGAGAAAGAGGCTGAGAGGTAGATAACACTACACCTTAATATCAACATAATATTCTTTGTCATCCCCCTTAAGGTTAAGAAACATGACAGCCCAATCATGCCTTATTATAGCCCTCTCAACAAGCTTCCTAGAGATAGCATACGGAACAGCTACTGGATCCATCTCCCACCTATATCTTTCTTCATTGTACCATGTCTTCGACACCACCCTATCTCGATCTAGAAGAATCCGTTCCTAGAGTGAAATATTAAACCAATCACTATGTCAATAGCAACAACAACATCCAAAATCCAAACATTATTCCCCAAAGACTCTGGGGTCGGTAACAAGAATTTAAATATTAAATAGAGAAAGAGGGGGACAAACAAAAAATGATCAATCATCCCCACGTATGGTCTCTCTCCACCGCGCCCTCTTCGAAGTCATAATCTCATCAAACCCAAGCAGTATCATATCATATCTAGGTCGTCCAGCCTAATTACGTCAACTTTGCAAAATATGTACTCAGGTATAAACCTATAATCTCAAATATAAGCCAAAGAATTCTTCGGCTTGATGCAACTCTTATTACCAATAAACAAAGAAAGCAATATTGCAGCATTTATCAGAAAACAGAGACACGTGCTGAAAAACATTGCAAACATTGCCCAGCCGTGGTGGATCAAACAAGCATTAGAAGCCTCTAAACTATATGCTTTAGCACTAGAGCACCAAGCACTCTACAACAAAACACGTCTAAAGTTTAAACCTGAGTTAGCACCAAGCCACCAACAAGCCTCTAATTTAAATGCACTAGACCTAACACCAACCTAGGGTTCTTTGCACACAGCATTTCGGAGCCTTTCGCAACCCATTATTTTCCTTTACACAGCTGTTTAAACCCTCCACCAACCAGACATCCTGGTTTATTCTTAAGAGCCTTCGAATTTATGAAACCTCCTTGCCTCACCGCCAGTCTCAGGATGTGCACCCACTGCCACCTATCCTGTAGTCTTCCAAAAAATTACTCTCTACGCACTGCAGTAAGTCCCAGTGTCCACCAGAAGTGCCGGCAAATGAAGGATAGACACCGGACAGAATTCCAGTCGGTCGGTTTACTCATTTCGCCTGAGTGTTTACTCACTTATGTGCTACTTCTTACCAGGCTTCCTGAGTCCAAATTTATTCCTCCCATTCCCTCCAGCGTCTGCATTACTGTAACTTTACCCCTCAGCATAGCAGGCTTCTTTAGCATCTGAAGTTATTCTTATCAATATTAAAATTTTGAGAACAACCTTTCTAGTTCAAATTAACTGGAAGGTAGCAAAACTATCTAAGGTAGCAAAAATATCAGGTCTTGTATGGGATAAATAAATAAGTCGTCCAACTAGCCTTTGATATCTCCCCTGTCCACAAGTGCTCTACCTGTCTCTGAGCCAATCCTTCTGTTAGAATCCATTGGAGTTGAGGCTGGTTTACACCAAGCATTCATGTTTCCTTCAGTAAGTCTAGAACATACTTTCTTTAAGAAACAAAAATACCACACCTTGATCGTGCAATTTCCATGCGTAGGAAATATCTAAGATAACCGAGATCTTTAATCACAAATTCCTTAGATAAAAAACTTTTCATGTTTTCCAGCTCTTCTTTGATGTGAGTATTATATCATCAACATAAACTATTAGGACAGTTATCCTTTTATCTTGTGAGTGTTTCACAAACAACGTGTGATCTGCCTGAAACTGAATATGGTCATTTTTAATGACTGATTTAGTAAACTTTCCAAACCATGCTCGCAAGGTTTAAAAAGGCGGGTTCAGGTTTCGAGGCGGTTTGTTTCGGAGAGGCGAGGCGTAAGCCTCAAGGCGTATTGAGGTGTAAGCCTCAAAATATACCAATAGATTAAACATATAATAGTTAAACTAATAAAAAACAACTAAAGAAATGGATAATTTTAAGTCCAAAAAGTATCAAACACAAACACAAGTATAAACACAAGCCATTCATCATCAGATGGCAAATAATCGACCAAAATATTTTCATCATCATTGGTTAGGGATCTTAATTTAAGGATTCCATCTTTCATCTTGTAAAACCTTGACCAGTTCTAGGAAAAGATGACCAACAGCTTAGTACAAGAAGAAAGAGGAGAGAAGGAGAAGAATAAAAGAAGTGGAGGAGATGCAGAAGGAGAAGAGATGTAGAAGAAGAAGAGGAGGAGCAGAAGAGTGGACTGTTTGTAAGTTGTATACTGTAGAAAAATGTTACATTATTAGAAAAATGTTACATTATTTTTCCTGATTAGATTGATGTACATAAGTAGGTCGGATAGACTTAGTTAGTTGTAGATAAGCTCATAGTTATCTAGATCCTAATTTTTAGGATCTGTACCAGCTTGTAGTTATCTGTACAAACTGTATTTATACTCTGGCCGAATGGCTCATTCAATCAAGGAAGTTTTATTCCTAAAACTTACATGGTATCAGAGCAGGTTGTTTAAACACCACAATGGTGGAAACCGAGCAATCTGACTCTTCTCCCCACTCACAAACCCATAACCCTAACTTCCCAAATAGCTCAATGACAAACTACCAGACCTCAGTTCATTCATCTATGCTCATTACTGGTCATAGATTGAATGGCACAAATTATCTCGAATGGTCACAGTCTGTCAAGCTGGCTATTGATGGAAGGGGCAAGCTAGGGTACATAATTGGTGAAATAGAGGAGAAAAAAACTGGTGATGATGGCTACAGCGTCTGGAGGTCAGAAAATTCCTTGGTGACAGCATGGCTTCTCAGTTCAGTGGATGCATCAATTGCCAAACCTCACATGTTCATGAAAACTGCAAAGGAGGTATGGAATTCCATTAAGGAAACTTACTCAGATCTTGAGAACTCTTCTCAGATTTTTGAATTAAAAACAAAGTTGTGGCAGTCCAAACAAGGCAATAGAGATATCATCTCTTACTACAATGAGATGGTATCCCTATGGCAAGAGTTGGATCAGTGCCATGATGATGAGAAGTGGGAGAGTGCCAAGGATCTAGCAAGACACAAAAAAAGGGAGGAAAATGATAGGGTCTACATGTTCCTAGCAGGAATTAATAGAGATCTAGATGAAGTTAAGGGGAGGATACTTGGAAAAAAAACTATACCCTCTATCAGGGAGGTATTTTCTGAAATCGGGATGGAGGATAACAGGAAGAAGGTTATGTACAGCATTCCAGTACATAATGAGGAATCTGGGGACTCTTCAGCAATGGTGGCTAGGAGTGATGACAAGAAAAAACCCTTGTGTGATCATTGCAAGAAAATATGGCACACTAGGGAGACTTGTTGGAAAATTCATGGCAAACCACCAGGGGCAGGAAAGAAAAAAACTGAGAAGGCCCTACAAACAACTGTGACTGAGACTCAACAAGAACCACAAGTCAAGTTCAATCAGCTTTCATTCACTCAGGAGCAGATAGGGCAACTTCTTAACTTCCTTAATTCCCAGAAAACCCAAAATTCCCAGAAAGAATCCAAACCAGAATCTTCCTCTTGTTCTTATGCCCAAAATGGTACCTATGCATCATTTTTTTTGTTCTGGGAAATGTAAAAATACCTGGATTATTGACTCAGGGGCTACTGATCACATGACTTCTATTTCAAATCTTTTTTCTTCATATAAACCTAGTGCAGGAGATAAAAAGGTTAAGGTTGCAGATGGTTCTCTATCAGCCATTGCAGGGATGGGAAATATTAGTATTTCCTCATCACTGAATCTATCCAAAGTCCTTCATGTCCCTAATCTATCCTGCAATCTTACTTCAGTTAGTAAAATAACTAAAGATCTACAATGTTGTGTCATTTTTTATCCTTCTTATTGCATTTTTCAGGACCTGGCATCGGGGAAGATGATTGGCAGTGCTAAGGAGGAGGATGGACTCTATATCTTTGATGGAGAAACTCAATCTAATAAAAGAGGTCCAAGAAATGCTTGTTTGCAAACTGTTTCTTTTTCAAATAATAAAGAGTTGTATTTACTTCATTATAGACTAGGACATCCTAGTTTCTATTATTTAAAAAAGATGTTTCCTCAATTATTTCTGAATAAAGATGTTTCTTTGTTTAATTGTGATATGTGTGCACTTGCAAAACATCACAGAAACACTTATTTACCCCACAGTTATAAACCTACTAGCCCTTTTACCTTGGTACATAGTGACATTTGGGGTCCATCTAGAATACCAACTTTAAAGGGAAAGAGATGGTTTGTAACTATTATTGATGATCATACTCGTGTCACATGGGTATTTTTAATCAAAGAAAAATCTGAAGTTGAGAAAATATTTAGAACATTTTATGCTATGGTCCAAACTCAATTCAATACCAAAATTAAAATGGTAAGAAGTGATAATGGCCGTGAATATTTTTCTCAAACTTTAAACAACTTTTTTACTGAAAAAGGCATTATTCATCAAAGCTCTTGTGTCAATACACCAGCTCAAAATGGAATTGCAGAAAGGAAAAATAGACATTTGCTTGAAGTCACTCGTGCAATCATGTTTTCAACAAACATACCAAAATATTTGTGGGGAGAAGCAGTGTTACATGCAACTTATTTAATTAATCGCATGCCATCCAAAACTTTAGGATTTAAAAGTCCTATTAGTTCACTACAACACTTCTTTCCTACAAATAGATTGGTAAACACCCTTCCTTTAAAAAAAATTGGTTGCACGGTGTTTATCATAAATCCAGATAGATCTGCAAGTAAGTTTGATCCTAGAGGAAAAAAATGTGTTTTTCTAGGTGTTTCTGCCACTCAAAAAGGGTATAAATGTTTTGATCCTACAACCAAAACAATGGTTGTTACTATGGATATTTTTTTATGGAAGAACAACCTTTTTTTGATTCTCATCTTGAGGGGGAGAAATTAAGTGAAGATGTTCCAATAATGCCACATATTCATGAAAATCTTAATTTTCTTGATATTAATCTGGATGATAATTTCTTTAGAAATATCAGTACACCTGAAAATGATCAAGGAATAAAAAATAATGAAGTAAATCCAACTGAACCAATTGAAAAGGATCAACAGACAAGTCAGTTCTTTGAAAAAACTTATGAGAGAAGGGTTAGAAATCAAAGAATAGAGGAAGTCCAAGAACCTACAACTGTCCATGATTCTGCCTCAATGTCAGGAAGTGAAAAAGGTAATACTTCTAGCAACTTTGACTTTCCTATTGCTCTCAGAAAAGAGATAAGAACATGTGTTAAATACCCCATCTCAAACTATGTTTCTTATTCTAAATTGACCTCAGACTTTGCAGCCTTTACCTCCAATATCTCTTCTATTTCTATTCCTCCAACCATACAAGATGCTCTATCTAAACCTGAGTGGAAGAAAGCTGTTTTGGAGGAGATGGAGGCTCTTGAAAAGAATCAGACATGGAAGCTTGTAGAGTTACCTAAAAATAAACCTACAGTTGGTTGCAGGTGGATTTTCACCCCCAAGTTTAAGGCAGATGGAAGTTTGGAGAGGTATAAGGCAAGACTAGTTGCCAAGGGGTACACACAGACCTATGGAATTGATTACAAAGAAACTTTTGCACCAGTTGCAAAGTTGAACACTGTAAGAATTCTTTTATCTCTTGCTACCAATTTAGACTGGCCATTACAACAACTGGATGTAAAGAATGCTTTTTTAAATGGGAAACTTGAAGAAGAAGTGTATATGGAACCTCCTCCTGGGTTTGAAAATAAGTTTGGGTTAAAAGTTTTCAGATTAGAGAAGGCTTTATATGGACTTAAACAGTCTCCAAGAGCCTGGTTTGACAAATTCACAAAGTTCATAAAGAAGCAAGGATTTAATCAAGCTCAAGCTGACCATACTTTATTCATGAAGTTTTCAGGTAAGGGGGAGATTGCAATCTTAATTGTCTATGTAGATGATATTATCCTCACAGGAAATTATCACACAGAGACTAAAAGATTGAAAGACAAACTTGCTCATGAATTTGAGATTAAAGACCTAGGAAATTTAAAATTTTCCTAGGAATGGAGATAGCTAGATCAAAGAAGGGTATTGTTGTCTCACAAAGGAAATATGTTTTAGATCTTCTACAGGAAACTGGAATGAGTGCCTGCAAACCAGCAGACACTCCAATTGACCCAAGTCAGAAATTGGGAGATATCAAGGAGGGAAATCCAGTTGATATTCACCAATATCAAAGATTGGTAGGAAAATTAATATATCTGGCACACACAAGACCAGATATTGCATTTGCAGTAAGCATGGTAAGTCAGTTTATGCATCATCCTCTCCAAGAACATCTTGATGCTACTTACAGGATTCTGAGATACCTGAAGAGCTGTCCAGGGAAAGGATTGTTTTTCAAAAAGGGAAACAATAGGACAATTGAAGCTTTTACTGATGCAGATTATGCTGGCTCAATATCTGATAGGAGATCTACTTCTGGATACTGCACCTATGTATGGGAAATCTAGTAACCTGGAGAAGTAAGAAACAAAATGTGGTTGCTAGAAGTAGTGCAGAATCAGAATTCAGAGCTATGGCTAATGGAATATGTGAGTTACTCTGGATCAAACGAGTAATCACAGAACTAAAGATGGAGATTGAGCTACCTATGAAGTTATATTGTGATAATAAAGCTGCTATAAGCATTGCTCATAACCCTGTGCTACATGATAGAACTAAGCATATTGAAGTGGACAGACATTTCATTAAGGAGAAGATTGAAGCTGGAATCATTTGCACACCATTTGTATCCACTAAAGATCAAACAGCTGATATCTTCACCAAAGGGTTATTTAGACCTATATTTGAGCTACTTATAAGCAAGTTGGGAATGTATGATATATATTCACCAACTTGAGGGGGGTGTAGAAAAATGTTACATTATTAGAAAAATGTTACATTATTTTTCCTGATTAGATTGATGTACATAAGTGGGTCGGATAGAATTTAGTTAGTTGTAGATAAGCTCATAGTTATCTAGATCCTAATTTTTAGGATCTGTACCAGCTTGTAGTTATCTGTACAAACTGTATTTATACTCTGGCCGAATGGCTCATTCAATCAAGGAAGTTTTATTCCTAAAACTTACATATACTTCTTCGTGAAGGAGTATGAAAACTTCTGTGTGCAGAAATATGAAATCATTTTAACAGTTACTGAATAGTTAAAATGAAAAAAGACTTGTTAGGGGTATTAGTTTGGACTATGGGTACGTATTTCATATATGGTCCTTTTATTAAATACTACTTAAATTATTCCAGGGATTTCTTAAGTCACAGCCTATTAAAAATATAGAAACTAAGGAACCCAAGCCTCAAAAAACGCCTTAAGGCCTCAAGGCGTACGCCTCAACTTTTGAGGCGTAAGCCTCTTGATACAACAACAACAACATCCAAGCCGTAGTACCAAAAGATATTGGGGTCGGCTAACATGAATCGATACATGGTAAATAAGCTTTCGGTACACTTAGTATAGAACCTAGAAAAAAATAACTTTAAATATAACCAATTATCATCCATAATAAACTAATAATAAGACACTTTGAAAATAATTTCTAATAATACCAACTATTTGAATGTAGAACAAAAATAATATGAAGCCACTTTTCTACAAGAAATACAGACATAAAAAACTAATGTCAAACCATCAAATACATGATATTTGGAAATATGGTCACTTATTTGATGTGTTCATATTAGTTTTTAATGAGTTAGTGAAAAATCACTTTATATAACTTTTCATATATATGCAAATAGTTGGTATTATTAAAAGTTACTACCTCCGCCCCGTTGGAAGGTTCTCATGGCAAAACGGCACGATTATTTAGATAATAATTAAATATGGTAGTTGAGTATATTTTGAGAAATAATTTTAATAGGTCTATAATATAATGGGGTTAGTGTTGATAATTGTGATGTTATAAATGTATTATTGAAATGAAATGATTAATTTGTCATTTAAGATTGTCAATTGTTTCCTAAAATGGAAATGAAAAACCTTTATATGGGACGTCTAAAAAAGGAAAGTGGGAACCTTTCTTTGGGACGGAAGGAGTAAAAGTTATTTCAAAAGTACATATTATTTTTTGTTCATGGAAGATAGTTTGTATTATTTTAGATTCCAGTTCCCTAGAATCTATGGAACCGGAGTATTGAACACCCCCAACCCACATGTATGTCATAGCACAGAAACAGACAGAAAGAAGACTTGAAGAGACTTGCTAAGAAAAACAAAGAAACAACATGATGCCATGATGGCAAGACGGCATCGTAAATAAATCAAAGTGGTGCCTCTTCTCAGTCATAAAGAAAACTTAACAGAGCCATTACCTGCCTTTCGGCAACATATTTTTTACCAAAGTCAACATCTTCCATCAACTTTCTTTTGAGGTCTCTTTTGACTTCATCACTCCATTTCTTCCAGCCATGGTATAAGTGAATGGCAACTGCTTTTGGAACAACAACCTCTTTGTTTCCAAACATCCACTTTAACTCAATTTCTGGGAAGCCCTTGACAACTTCATCCGCAGGCGTGTTTACAACAAACTTAGTTTCATCCCCGTATCTTTTCATTCTTTCTCTTATATGAGACTCCATATTGCTTTGCATCTCATGTGATTCCTGAAGAACTTGCTTTACGCGTTGAGCAAGACCAACTAACTCTTCATCATTTCCAATATATTCTTGCAAAATATTATCTAAAAGTGCCCCTTGCTGTAACTGTCTTTGAGAGTGTAGGAGTTTTCCCTTTATCTCGGATCTGGAAAGCTTGGACAGAGGGCTGGGATGCATACTTCATAAGAAACCAAATTTAGTGCAAAGTGTGCAGAGGAATATATTCACATCTAGCAACAATTTGCAAACATAATTCATTGAAAGACTTCATGTGCAATGCAGATCCCTCATTTTACTAGAGTTTCAAAATGAAAACAGGAAAATGAAGGCTTGATCTTAGCATCACACAAATAGACAACTATTATTTCTTAAACTTTCTCTAATTCCTGTCTTAAACTTTCTCTAATTCCTGTCTAATTCCTCTCTAATTCCTGAAGAGATACAGTTCTTAAACTTATATACTAATTTCATTAAGAAAATATTACTAGTAAAACATCAACATGGAGAAAGTCCAAAATTACAGCGCATGTATCAAATGATTCAAATAGTAAACATGGTTCATTTACCTTGAACTCCCTGATATCCTAGTTTCCTCTAAAACTTCCACAGCAAAGGCTACACATTCCCTCTCAATTGACAATAGCTCTCTAGTGCCAATGCCCAGTGCTACTGCTTCTCTCATTGAAATTTCATCTTCAATTTGGTAAATTTTCATCCGGACCCTATTATACTCCTCATCAATCCTGTTAATTTTTTCCTGAACCTTAACCATTTTCCCCTGTAAAGCACTGTCTCTCCGTAGAACTTTTCTCATCAAACTCTCTTCTTCCCTTTTTGCTCTCAGCATGGATTCGAGAATCTCCTTCGTTTGAATGACCAACATGGCTTTCTCTTTTTTCAAAACCACCAATTTCGCATATAAACCGTTCATAATCTCCTCTTGCAACTCCTTCCTTCTATTTATCACATCATCTAGCTTATCCTCCATAGTATCTGTGCTCCATTTTCCCGACTCCACCATTTCTATGGCCTTAAGCAACTCGGAAACAGTAGCTAGCAATCTCTTAGTGCAGTGCGAGTATTCATGGACATTCACGTCCTCCTTACCGGTTTTCCCTTTGGTACCCTTCTCAGACATCCGAAATAGCTTGGTTATCATTGCAGGGGCGGCCACAGCTGGCTGAACACGAAGCCCGATGATCGGGAAAATGCCGAGAGCAGTGCAGAACAGTGCGTATAAAATGTTCTTCGTAATAAGATTGAGCACACTCTCGTCATTGTTATATACAGACGTGCTTGGTGAAGTTCCGCCTATGAAATTGATCGATGAAGACTCCGGATTCCCAAATGGTGAGTAATCTTTCCGAACACGAAAGAAAGTTCTAAATTCTTTACATTTTGGTGATGAGTTGATTGTGGATTTCTTAGAGTGGAGCCCGTTGTTAGTGTAAACTGGGGAAATGAGGGATGGATGGGAGAAAGGAGCAGAAGATGTAAAGAGCGAGATGGCTGTACAGTTCATTTGTTCGCCGGTGAGCGGCGGCGCAGAGCATCTAGAGGCTGAGGTGGGCTAGTTAGTGGTGCGGGTGGTGAGATGATAAAGGCCGCATACCAGCAGGGGCTCTTTGGAAAGGAGCGCCAGAGTAGCAAATTAGAAAAATGCTTGTTTTCCGAGGATGTTTTTATTTGTTAGGTATGAAAGTGATTTTTCTATTTTTATAATTATAAAGTCTGGATATGGTCTGATATAATCTATTCTAGTTCAAATTACGAAAAACATGATACACATTTACCACACACTTGTTTGTCAACCCACAAAAGTTTTTGTGGAGTGTCTATATTCAGGGTCAGAGCCTAGGCCTGGGTTCAATTCGGTTTCTATGGAACCGTTTGAAAATATGAAATTTTATTAAGAGAGAATTCTCTAAATAGGAGTAAAAATGTTTTGAAATTCCAAAATAGGAGTAAAAATGTTTTGAAATTCCAAAATAGGACTATTATGTTTTTTATTCCTTGAATATGAGTAAATTTCTACCAAGCTTAGCATTACTAGACTTTAAACATGACATTTTCTTCCAAACTTGGCAGATTACTCCTATTTAAGGAATAAAAAATATGATAGTCTTATTTTAGAATTTCAAAACGTTTTTACTCCTATTTAGAGCAATTTCAGTTTTACTAATAGTTTGGTTCTTATAAATTATTTTATAGAACCGATAAGGAACTGAACCGTTCTTAACAGGAACGGTTCGGTTCTTGTCATTTAATGGTTCCTAGTCTTTGAAAAAGTTCTTACAAATCATGACTAAATTTTTGTCAAAAAAAACATTGAAATCACAATACAAATATGTTGAACCAGTTAAAGAGAATAATAGTTTTAAATACTTTGGGCCTTCCGAGTTCCGATCAGCTGGAGTTTGGACCTAATGAGATGCCTAAGAAGCCTAATAGTTTTAAATAGTTTTTTTTTTTTGAAAATATAGTTTTAAATAGTTAAATAACTAAACTAAAATAGTGAATGTAATACTATCGTATAAAAATAAACAAGTAAATATACATTAAAATATATATACCCATAATAAATATATATAATTTTAATTATTATATATAACGTTTCTTTAACGGTTCCTGGGACATATTTTTTCAGGACGCGATAACTGAACTGTTAATAAAAAATAGGGACCGAACCGTTAACAAATAACTAATAAATGTAGGAACCAAACCGAACCGGGTCATAATGGTTCGATCCGGTTCGATTCTCCGGTTCTTGGTTCCAAAATCCCAACCCAGGGGGTCAGGGTGGTCAGCCAACCCTACTAAAAGTTTGAGAGTATAGAGCATTAACATATGTTCGATTTGATATATTGTTGTTCATGTAACTCATTACGAGTAAAAAGTTATGACTTCTGGATGATTGGCACTATTTCAATGTAAAATCAGCAAAATTTGATATGTAGTATTTATTATTTTCCCGATTTTAAAAATAATCATTAACCCATTACTTACGTGACATGATTCAGAAACGGAGCAAAGACAATCTATCTTATTTCTTCGAGAGCATATTTATTTGTTGGTCTTGAACAATGAGATAAACGAACAGCTAAATGTAGTCTACGATAAGTAATAGAGAAAAGGATTCTTAGAATGATCGAGAAATATTCAGAATAGAGAAATTCTTACTCTCATACTATCGAGAAGCTAGAAAGGAAAATGATTGTATCGAATACTCTATTGCTGAATGAAACGATGATTATTCGGTCATGTACCACATGTACGCATATTTATAGGCGTAGGTACCGGTACCGAAAAGGTAACCTAGAACTTTGTGCCTAAGGCCTTTTTGGGCCCTATTCCCTTACAAGGTTTATTCATTACATATAATAAATACTATTAATGGTAAAAACTAGTCTAACTAAATAACAAGACTTTTGACAACCTTGATCACAATAAATATTTTCCTCAACAATCTTCCCCTTTGTGATCAAGTGTCGTCTTGCTTCTTCATCTCTTCACCACTGATCTTTATAATAATGCTTTCTGAGATTGGGTGCATGCTCGTAGCTTTTGAGAAATCTTCTTTTGTCAAATTGTTTTTTGATGGCTTTCAAAACGTTATCAACTCTTTGCGGTTCCTTGAGTTCATCCTTTGAGGCTTCAGTCGCTCTTTTATCAAGTTCTTCTTTTCTTGGTTGCAGTTGTTCCCGGATGATCTTCAAAGTCCCGTCACAATACTTGTGAATGTCGTCAACAAACATCAGGCGCTTTGTCATGCCCCAGATCGCAATCTAGGCGCGTGTACAATCGCCGTATAATCGAGTGACGTCACCCACGGGTCAACCTCACTTAATCATACAAGGCGTTCGAGAAAATAATTCATCCATACTCAGTAGTAAACATACATAACAACATCACAAATTAAACCATTGAATAGCGGAAATATTCAGCGGTAATTCATAGGCCACATCCGGCCGATAACATTGGCATGCAAGCCCAAAGGTAGTTTAAACCAAATAAAAATATCCATGAGCAATGTTTATTAATTTGAAAGAACATGAGGAAGCACGAACCATGTCTTCCTTGAATTTGATGTCACCCGTAGAAAGGTGCAGGTAGCAAGCCCTAGCTTCAACTTGAAAATGGTGGGGGCCCCGAAGGGGTCAGTACAAGTACCGAGCGAGTAGCAGGCTAAATATAGAATAACTAGCGGTTCAAGTATAAGACCCAAACATAAGGTGATACTTATGTAAATAGTCCTTCCCCCAAGTTAAGAAATACTTAATAGTATATATACACTTGGAGAAATATTTGATCCGTAGATCGCCATTTTATTTGGGTAAAATAGTAATAGCCAATATTCTTGACTAAAAACCGCAACCCACCTCTATACTTATGAGTGTATAAGACTCCTCCTTATCCTTATTTCAATATCATAATCTATGAGTTTTGAGCATAACGTGATCCTTGGGTGCTCCGCCAATATATATTTGAGTGTTAAGGACTTTTAGTCCTAGGGTCCTCCACCAATTTATAATACGAGTGTTAAGGACTTCAAGTCCTAGGGTCCTCCACCAATTTATAATATGAGTGTTAAGGACTTCAAGTCCTAGAGTCCTCCACCAATTTATAATATGATTGTTAAGGACTTCAAGTCCTAGGGTCCTCCACCAAGTTTAAAATATGAGTGTTAAGGACTTCAAGTCTTAGGGTCCTCCACCAAGTTTACAATCCAATTGATCAACCTCCTATCAACCTAGATTGAGTCTATATCACATTTATTCATTCATAGCTATATCAATCCATAAAGATTATGTATCTCCATCCATGCAAAACCATGCATTTATATAAATTTATAATTAACTAATACCAAACGGTATTAATTAATCCATTATCCATCGGTCAATGTTTTCGTTGACCGCCATTTCAAGCCTTGTACGTCTCAACTTAATCATTATATAATTAAGTTAATGATATCCATTTGTGCTTCTCTTGCACTTCAAGCAAATATGCCTTGTATATAATTCTTCATATCATATTTTATGCATAAACAGTTAATTCCTTTCATACAAACTTAACCACGTTGGCTAATCACAAGTTTAAATATCTTTTAAACATTATTATGAACACATAAAACATTTATTTAGGTAATCTCATAATTAATCCAAAAGTTACAAGATATTAAGGTGTCCACTCACTTTAAACGACCTTTAGCGTGTTCTACGCTCCTCGGTTGAACTCCGGCGAAACTCGGGCGAACTCCGGCGAACTCTAGAAACTCATTAGTTAAGCTCCTAACATGGTTTTATCATCACAAAACTCATATCAATATAAATAACCTCTAAAAGGTTATTTTCCGGCGAACCGGTTGTTTTGGCTTCTAAGTCCGTTCTTGGACTTATAACCACATTCCAACCCCTCATTCTACATTTCTAAATATGTATAACAAGCTTAGGTGTTCCTCATATGCTATATAAGTCACATGATAGCTAAGGAGTAGAGGAAAAGTTATTATGAGGTCATTACCTTAATCCTTCACACTTTTCCTAACTTTTTCCTTCTTTAATCTTCCTCCTTAGACCTTGTCTTCTTGAGCTCACTTGGCTATGGAGGAATGAAGCTTTGAAGAGTTTTTTCTCTTTCTTTGAGGGGATTGGCCTAGCTAGTGATGGAGAGGAATTAGATTGAGACTCTCTTTGTATCAATAGGGCAATGAGTGAGAAGGACGCCCACATGACCCACCTAGATGCCAAACCTCTCAAGGTCAACCCTCTACATCCCATCTCTCATCAACCACACATCCTTTCTTGTTCATTTGATCACAAAAACGTGGTGTGGCCCCCACTCACGTGGGATATGATTTGGAATCATATTGATAAAAATGAAGTTAAATGAACTATTGTGTGAAATAGGCATTTTTACTCATGTGTGAATTGTGTAGATACATAAATGATTATTTATGTATTACATTGGATGATTAAGTTGCTGCTGCTGCATATCTCTAAATATGTAGGGATTTATAAATTGAATATATGATCGATAGGAATAATCTTAATAGTATTGAAATACTAGTTAATGATTGTTTGTTATTGTTAAGGAATTGAATCTAAGGATTTGATTGTAAGTGATGTATTTGATTGCGATTCAAGTGACTAAATTGATCTAATATGATGCTAAGGTCATGTTATGGACAGTCCTTAAGGATGTCCCTAAATAGATTATTGATATTCAATTTTAGGCATAAGTTTGCTCAGGAATTGAGTCTATGCCATGACACGGTGATGTACTTGAGGTTGACTCTAGAAGTGCATGGGTAGACATGGGGTTGTGATTGATGACATGCATGTTGATGTACTTGAATTGGACTCTAGAAATGTATGGGAGATTTGAGGTTGTAACCTATAATGTGCATGGTGATGTATTTGAGTTGGACTCAAGAAATGCACGGTGGAGTAATTAACTTGTGTCATATGATTTGCATGGTGATGTACTTGAGTTGGACTTTAGAAATGCAAACATATGTGTTAGGGTTGGATCCTATGAATTGTCATGCCGACTACTTGACTTTATATAAAGTAAGTATATTTTAAAAAGGGGTAACTTGGGGTTACAACCTAGATTATATCATCACCCTATTTGAGGGTATTGTGTTTGAAATACTT